TGGAGATTTTCTGCTGTGTGTAACCTCCAGCTGCTGGATCCCCTTTGTCTCTCAGAGCAGCCCAGCCTGACAGAAAGATGCTCAGAAAGCAGCACCTGGAAGCTCACCCACCCTTCTCCCTGTGCTCCCTTCTGATGAGTTGTTTTGGAAAGGTCTGAGCTGCCAGGTGTTATTTCCAAGCCTGGAAGTGAAACAATTGACTGAACGACAGGAGCCCAGGGCTGTCCTGCAGCACAGCCAGAGGTCACCGGCAGGGGACAGCTCACCTGCCACAGCAGGACCCGGTGCCTGTGTCCCAGCAGAATTCCTCCAGTCGTGTCTGCTTCTTGTAATGCCCCCACTGCTGGCACGTGGATGGATTTGGACACAACAGAGAGCTATTCTGGGGACCATTAACATCATACCCTTAATGAGGCTGGAACTGGTCACAAACTTCTAAGCCAAGTCATGAAAATGCCAGTTCAGTGAGCAGCACATCAGGAATATTCTGTGTCTGATTAAACCTTTTTTTTTTTAGAAAAATATCTTAGGTCAAAACGAGAGAGAGGAGACCTGATTGCCTTTTGCAATCACAGATGTGATTGCTCCTCTGATGTGCTTCCAGCTACCTCAGCACATGCTATTGATCTCTTGGAACAGCTTCTATCAGTTATTAGGGACAGTCAGCAATCTCTGCACGAAATCTTAGAATGAATCTTGGCTGTAGCTGCAGCTTGTCAAACACAGAGCTCTGGGCTACAAGCTTAGAGCTCCAAGTACAAATGTTTTAAAATGTGATTTTGAATAAATGGAAATCAGCCTGGAGAAGAGAGGAGGAGACCTCAGAGCACCTTCCAGTCCCTAAAGCAGCTCCAAGAGAGCTGGAGGGAGACTTTGGACAAGGCCATGGAGTGCCAGGAGCAGGGGCACTGGCTTCACACTGACAGAGGGCAGGGCTAGATTGGATATTGGGAAGAAATTCTTCCCTGTGGGAGTGGGCAGACCCTGGCACAGGTGCCCAGAGCAGCTGGGGCTGCCCCTGGATCCCTGGCAGTGCCCAAGGCCAGGCTGGACAGGGCTTGGAGCACCCTGGGGCAGTGAAAGGTGTCCCTGCCCAAGGGAAGGGGTTGGAACTAAAGAATCTTTAAGATCCTTTCTAGTCCCAGATATTCCATGGTTCCATGACGAAACCAGTGTATCGGTTTGGGAAAAATATCCTTGCAGGAGGTGCCCTCTCTCAAATGCCTGCCTATCATTTAATCTTTTTTATGCAACAATCTTGCCCTGAGTCTTTACTATCCACAAACCATCCTGCTGCAGCAGCTGACTGAAGAGAGCAGCCACACTGTTCCCAAACCCCTCTTCCAGCTGAGAAATGCACCAGTCATGAGCAATGCAGCCTCATCCCCACTGGGAAAATGTGCATCACACACCTGGGAAGCTGTGGAAGCACACAGCTCTGGGAGCTTGGAGTCCAGAGCAATTATTCAATTGTGCTCTGCACAGGGAACAAAACAGACATTAAATATGGGCCATGCTCAGTTTCACCTTGCATGGTAGCTCCTGTTGTATTTCAATCTGGTGAATCCAATCCTTGCCTTTTGTTTTCTTTCTCTGCATCTTCCTGCTTCCATTTCCCCCTGTGCTCTCACAAGTCTGCTGCAGTTATTACATTAACAAAATGCAGGGATGAGTCCTGGATAATAACATTTTATCTGGAGCCATGCCATGCTGGGAAGATGGTAATTTAGTTAATTGAATTCCATCTAAAGGGGAACTGAATCAATATTCCAGCACAGTGCTGGAGCACGTGGCTGGCAGTGAAGCATTGCCTGAGCACACGTGGTCAAACCAATCTCAGGGCATGACAGGAGGAGCCTGAATTCAAGAGTTGGGTTTAGGTGACAGAAGCTGCACTCTGAATCTTGTCTGAACACGATTTACAGCTTGTCTGTGTATTTTGGAAAGCATTGTCCATCAGGCTAGCAGTGAAGTGGAAAAGTACTGAGGGAGCAGGGCAGGTACAGCTGCACAGGGCAGGTGTTTGCCAGCACAGAGCCCTCTGAGCAGGGATGTTCCCTGGGGAGCGAGGTTTGGACAGCACAGGAGCTCTTGGTGATCCTGCACAGGGGCAGAAAGGGTAAAACCTCCCTGGCCATATTGGTATCCACTGTCTCCCTCTTCTAGGAACAAATCTATATCCTTGAGGGCCAGAGTGATCCATCCTCGTCAGTATTTCTGGTCAAATCGCTCATCCTAGAGAAAAATGACCTCTCAGAGGAGCCAGTTCCCTCATCCCCAGCACACAACTTGTCAAAGCATGAAGCACATTAGCCTTGAGCCTAGATGATTTTAGAAGCTCTCAGCTAAATTGATTGCAAATCACCCACCTGATCCTTCTGGGCTGCACATCCCAGTGGCAAGGTGAGACACCACCTTGTAAGAGAGTCAGGATTTGTCTAAAACCCAGAGGTGGCAGTTTCTGGTGTCAGGGCACCACAGGGGACAAGGTCTGGCGAGTCTCTCCACTGTGGGAGTGTGGCCAGAGGGTGGCCAAGGGAGAGACACAAGTGGGAAGGAGAAAATATCTTCATGTCTGGAGCTTGGACCAATGCACACAACACAAACTGGCTGAGACACCTCCCTGCTGGCTCCTCTGCTGCCAGGGAATTGCAGCTGGCTGCAAAGTGTCTGTCTGGGGCTGGTGAGGAGCCAGGCTCAGAGCAGATGCTTGGCCAGAGGAAGGTCATTAGCATGAGGAGATGGCTGCAGGCCCTGGGTTTGGGCAGTGTCACTTTTCATCACACAGAGCAGGTCTGCAACTAATGCCCCAAGGGCTCAGCAGCCTGTGGCACCACTTCAAGCTTCACTGGGCAAAGAGCTGGAGCTGCTGGTCTTGTGGAAGTTTCTTCAGGTTTTGGTCTTCTCAGGTGCTGAGCAATCCAGCTCAGCCTCTCCTTGTCAATCCTGTGCTCCACTGCCAGCCACTCCAGGAACCTCTGCCTTCCTGCCCACACTGGAAAGCTGCTGTTTAAAGGCCATATTCCTTGCACTTACCCGTGTCTCCAGCTGGATTTGACCACTTTGAGGAGCTGTGGGATGTGTCTGTAATCAGGTCACAGCCACAGAACTGCAGGTGCTGTTTCTAAAGGGTATTCACACTCTCCTGCAAGGATGAACGGGGCCTTGGACATGCACACACAGAGCCAGCAACCCTCAGGAGATCATTACACTGGTATTTAGTAAGATTCCCCTTCTTGGTGAAGACCCAGATCAATATCTTACTCTTCCCAGAAAGCTGTTCCCTTCACCTCAGAGGACATGATTTGTTTCAGGCTGATCTGGGGCACTTTGCAGCCAACAGATCCAGCCAGTCTTTACTGGCACAAATTCTCCTGGGGCTGCTTTGGCATGACTGAGATGCCTTTTGCATGCTGGGAGCAGTGGGCACTGGAGCTGCCTCCTCCAGAACCAAGAGGCTGGAGGGGAGAAATTCTGTGTAAACTGTGGAGAAAGTGGTGAAGGACTTGAAGAGGTGCAGGAGTGGGTGAGGAGCCTCTTTATGCAGGGGGTGGCAGCAGGTGGGAGCTGTGAGAGCTGTGAGCTCTTACCTGAGCTCTGCAGGGGCTCCACAGGCTGTGAGGAAGCTCAGGAATCAGCAGGGAGAGGCTGGCTGGTGGAGCTGGCTGTCCTGGGAGATGCTGCAGCCCTGCCTTGGATGAGCCATCACCTGAGCAGCAGGGTGGGCAGGCCCTGGCACAGGCTGGCCAGAGAAGTGTGGATGCCCCATCCCTTGGAAACATTCACAGCCAGGTTGGATGGGACTTGGAACAACATGGAATCCCTGCTCATGGTGCAAGGGCTGGAATGAGATGGTCTTTAAGGTGCCTTCCAACCCAAATAATTCCAGGATTCTGTGATTCCCAGGATTCTTGATTTCCCTGTATCAAAACCACATCAACACCTGCAACTCCCCTGCAGAGCTGTCCCCACATGGGAGCTCCTGTGCTCCACATCCAGGTCCTGACCAGGGCCACACACAGCCAGGGATGAGTCCTGTGGGGCCTGACCTGCTCACCTCTTCCCAAAATAATCTTCCTTTGCCAAGCCTCCAAGGACAGGGCTGAGTCACCTCCACAGACCTCAAGGCATGCAGGGCAGCCTGGCCCAGGGAATTCTGCAGCTCATTTGTGCACTGGGCAAGGCAGTCAGCAAAGGGTTAAAGTCTCCCGGCCTCTCCCTTCACAAGCAACAATTTTTGAGAAACTTTGGCTCTTCATAAGGAGCCTTTAGGGATAGACAGCCACAAACTCCCTCCAACCCCCTCAGAGGAGAAAGGAGAGGTAACATCCCCCAGCCCTCACTGAGGATGGGGCTGAATCCAGCCTGGAAGAAGACACCCAGACCAGCTCTTCCTTCTCCTGTGTTTGCCAAAGCAGTGTCTGGGATGCAGGGGTGCAGTGCTGTGCCTCGGCAGTGAGCGAGCCTGTGCCAGCCTATGTGTGCCCCTGACACATCCCTCACGTCCTGAGCACTGCCAGTGCCACAGCTGAGGCACCCGGGATAACCCCTGTGGGTTATTTAGGGAGCCTGGCTCTGCGTGGATGACCCTGGGGGTGGATGTGCAGCTGCAGATCCCGGCGTGCCCGCCCGGCAGCCCTGCAGCAGGCACAGCCCGTGCCTGGGGCCGGGCTCACGGCCCCTGCAGCCGGGTTCCTGCTCTCTCTGAGTGACCATCCCATCCCGGAGCTGCCGTGCCGCCCTGGAGCCCGGCCTGTTCCCAGGGATCGTTACCAGGAGCTCCTCGTGTGTTTGGTTGCAAACAGAGCAGCAGTGGGAGCCAGGCGCTCGTGTTTGTGTGCCTGCGGTTGCTCAGGCAACTCGGGGCCAGCCAGGAGCTGCCAAAACCCTCGGTGGCCAGGGCCAACCCCCGGCACAGCTGCCCGGGGCGGCCGAGCCCCCTCTGTCCGGCCGGGGGAGCAGCCAGAGGGGTCGGGCCCACGAACAAACCAGAGCGGAGCTCAGTGCGGACGGGGTTTATTGCAGAGCCGGGTTACAGCGCGGGCCTGCAGCATCCTTTGGTTTGGGCTTCACGAAGGGAGCGGGAGGCCACGGGGGTTCAGGTCGGAGACCTTTGCCGCTGTCCAGGCGACACCGAACAGTCGCGGGTGCATCCCGGGGCTGGGCCGGGAGCGGCTCCGGGACGAGCGGCACCGCCGGGCCTGAGGCTCGAGTGCCGGGAGCGGCTGGGCCAGGCAGCCCCGAGGGGAGGGAAGGAGGCGGCTGCGGGTTAAGGCAGGGCCCCGGGGGGCAGCACAGCGGCGGTGCCCGGTGGGACACGGAGGGTGCCCCGAGAGCCGGGGCTGAGGTAGGGAAGGTGTGGGTGCCGGCGGGCAGGGGAGCCCTGAGGAGCAGCGCTGTTAGTGCGGTGTGGGGCTGCGGTGACAGCACGGGGGACACGGAGGGGCGGGGGGATCGCAGCACGGGGGGGACGGACACAGCGCTGGGGCAGAGCTCTGGGCCCGGCGATTTCCCCGATCCCCCCAGCGCCGGGGGCCGATCCCCCCAGCCCGGGCCGGCCCCAGCGCAGCCTCCCGGGCCCGGCTCACGGGCACGTCCCGGGGCTGTGACCGAGCCCCCGGGCCGGTGGCGCCACGGGCACCCGTCCCTACTTTTTGACTTTGGCGTCGTAGGTGCCCGCGTTCTTGTAGGCACTGACATAGCCGCTGGTGTCCACGATGTTCTCCCGGCCACTCTTGCCCTTGCCCTTGCCGCTCTCGTCGAAGCGCTCCTTGTGGGAGCCCGTGTACTTGGAGGTGTCTGTCAGCCTCTCCACGGCTCCCACTGTCTTGGCTTTCTGCAGTAGGACATGGGAGACAAGAAGATGCTCCATCCCCTTCCCACACAAGTCCCATCCCTTGCCCCACACAAGGTCCTGACACCCACCAAAGACCCTGCTGTGCCCCTGTGCCCTATGAGACCCTCAGGTCCCCCTCACCTGGGGCCATGGGGTCTCCTAGAAAGCATCTGCACAGTGGGCAGAGCCCCATCCTCCCCTCCTGCTCCCACAGCCCAGGGGCTCCTCACTCACCGTGACACCCACGTTAATGGGCTCCTTCCCTGCCACCAGCTGGCAGATGGCTTCATAGGCCTCCTCTTTGCTCTTGTCCTTAAACCTCTTGGGGGCCAGCTCCTCCAGCGCCTTCTTGAACTCCTCGTAGTTGATGACACGGGCTGTCTTCCCTCTGCAAGAGCAAAACTCAGGCTGCCACCAGCACATCTTTGCCTCCAAATGGGATGAGCTGCATCAGAGAGACCCTGACTTTGTTCTACCCTCACCCACTTCTGAAATTCAGCTACAGCTGAATGGGCTGGGCACAGCTGGTGCTGAGCTCCAGGAGCCTTCCAGACACATGCTGCTGAAGTCCCTGTTACCAAACACCAGAGTGCATGGAAGTGTTCTAGGACTTGGTGCTGGTGTCAAGGAGGGGAGTGCATCCATCCTCACTTCTCCCAGCCTGCCTGGGTTGCCCATCACACTCTCTCCTCTGGCAGGCATCAATCCTCCAGTCAAATTTGGAAGGACATGTACAGAGCATCTCTCCCATGAGCTCCTGGTCCTCATCTCTAGGGCAGCACAGCAACCTGCTCTCCTGCACCCCAAAACCTCCCAGTGCTCAGCTCCATGTGACCCAAGCCAGGAACATGGGAATTCCTGGACAGAGCACGTGGAGGAAGCAGGTTCTCCACCTGTTCCCACACCCTGGTGTGGAGCGTGAAGCATCATTGTGTCCCCAGGGACCCTAAAAGCAATTCCAGGAGCCTTTCAGCCCTTCAAGCTGCCTCTGTTACTCCCATGGACCAGGATCCTCCCCAAGCTTGGGTGTTGGCTGGCCAGGGCCAGGGAAGGGCCACAGCACATGGGACAACCCTGAGCACCTTCCTCTGCTCCCTGTAGCACCTCTTGAGAGATGGGAACGTGGCAGAGCCAACCAGGCCCACCCCAGCTCTTGGAGTGGGAGCAGGGACACAATCTCTGCCCCAAATCTGAGCCTCCCACCCCCAAATTTGGGTTGATTTATCATTAAGTCTTGCAGAAGCAGCCACATGTCCCCCCTGAAGGTGGGACACTGCAGGACAGCTCCCACAGCTCTGTGACAAGTGGAATGGACAGCCTGGGCACACAGCAGGGGGAGCAGAGCTCTGTGGGGACCCCACACCCAGACACCCACGCCCTGCCCATCCTGCAGAGGCATCCAAGTCACTTACTTCACCTTGGAGAAGACAATGTCCACGTCGGTGCTGGTGACGCTTTTGCCGTCGGTGACTTTGCAGTCCTTGCACAGCTTGGCCCAGTTCTTGCCGTTCATCTCCTGCCCCGTGGCCTTGGTGTCGCCGTAGATGGCGAATTTGCGGAAGCTCTCCTCCAGGGATGCCACCTCAGCATTCCCGGCCATGGGGCTGCAGGATGGGCCCGGCACCACCCAGGCTCCTGCTGGCGGCACGGCAGAGCTCAGCTGGCTGCTCGAGGCCCTCGAGGGCAGCAGCGGGAGGAGGAGGAGGAGGAGGAAGGCTGGCGAGGATGGAGGCTCCGCAGCAGGATCGGGGTGTTGGCAGCACCTGCGGGCGTGGGGTGAGGGGTGACAGCAGGCTCGGATGAGCCCCGAGGCCGAAAGCCAAAAACGCGTCTTGGGGAATGGAGGCTGCTGGTCGAGAGCTGTCAGCAGCGAGGCTGCCGGCTCCGGGGCTGGCGGGGAGTGAGTGCATCAGCCTGTCCCTCGGGAGTACTCTCCGGGAATGACGCAATGCGTCCGCCTTCATCCCGCTCGCTCTCACATCGCACAGCGGCCCCGCCGCCTGCCTTCAGCCCCACCTCTCCCCTGCCTCCATCCCCCTGTGCGGAGCTGCAGCACCCCAGCCTGTGACTGCCCCCAGGGCTGGGCCAAGCGTGATGCCCTGCAGGGTGACAAGCAGCAAACAAGTCTCTGTACCCCGTGGCGGCACTGTTGCTGCTGTCCCGTCCCCGCTCGCCATCGCCTCGCCAGCCTCGCCCTGGCGGCTCAGCATCCCTCACCCACAGCATCTCGGCCGGGACTGGGCACGGCCGAACTCCGGGGAGCTCCAGCACCCAGGGGCTTCTCCGGCACCCCGAGGCGCAGAGCGGGTACCTCGCCCGGTGGGTGTCCGGGCAAGAGAGGCTGGCGTGGGGCCCCGGAGCCTCGGCGAAGGCCGGGGAGTGGTCCCTAAGACCGTCGCTAGGGAGGATGGGCGTTGCCTGGCGACCGTCGCTAAGGAGGCGCGGCGAGGCGGGGATGCCGCCGGTCCCCTCCCGGCCCCGTCCTCCCGCGGGCTCCCGCAGCCCCGGGCCCGCACGGCCCCGCAGCGGCAGCCGGGGCTCTCCCGCCCGGCTCGGAGGTCTCTGCCCGCGGCCGCGGGGTGCCGGGGCAGCGACGGCCCCCGCTCGCCCTCCCCCCGGGTTTCCTCCCTCCCTCCCTCCCCGTGCAGCGGCCCCGGGACGGGCACCGGAGGGGCGGCGGGTGCGGGGGTCCCGGCCGCTCGGTCTCTCACCTCTCGGTCACTCGCTCCCCTCCCGGCGCCGCGCTCTGAGGCGGGCGGGGGCGGCCCCGCCGCCTGTTTAAGGCGCCGCCATGGGGACGGGAGGGGCCGGGCCGCCCCCGCCCGCCTCCCCCGGGCCGCGGCACGGCGGGAGCGCCCTCGGGGCGGGGAGAGGAGCCCGGGCAGCGGACCCGGGACCACCTCTGGGACCCTCCACGAGCCCATGAAGCCTCTCTGCTTCCCCACGAGACCCTTCCAGCACCTGGCAGGTCTTTCCTACACCCCACAAGGTCTCTCCATCACCTTACAAATCCCCAGCGTTGTCCCACAAGGTCCCTTTAGCACCCCCCGAGGCCCCACCATAAACCCACAAGGTCTCTCCACCACCCCTCAGCACAGACTCCCCCTGGCACCCCGGCTGTGCTGTACCCTGCAGCCCTTCCCCTGCCCCACACAATCACCATGACCCCCATAGAGGAACTCTGCCCGGGCTGAGGAGGCAATGCCAACCCCTGTGGTGTGTCAGGGACCGTGGTGAGCAACTGTGGCCCAGTGGGACTCCCTTGGAGCAGCCACATGCTAGCACTGCCACCCTCGCAGCCTGGAGCATGACCACAGCAGGGCTCCCAGTGGGTGCTGCGAGCTGAGGCAGTACCCAAATATTGTGGTTGTCATGGAGCCCCAGCACAACCCACATCTCTTACTCACTGCCCCACCTCAGCTGTTTGCCCAGAGCCTGCTTTGATCCCCGTGCCCTCCTGGCATCGCTCGGGGGTGCAGGGCATCGTGGGTGATCAGCTGCAGCACCAGCAGGAGCTGTGCGAGCAGGACACACAGTGTGAGATTTGCTGCTGCCTTGAGGGTCCTGAGGACAAATCAGCAGCTTTAGGGACTGGGAAGTGGCTCAAACATCAATCTTTGGCACACTGGTCTGTCTGCCCTGCTCCCTCTGCAGAGAAGATGCAGGTTAAGGACAAACACAGGTGTCCCCATGGCTGAGCTGCCCCAGGGCATCTGTTCTGCTTGTGCACCCAGAGCATTTTGCTGTGGGGCACAGCACCAGTGACAACCTCCCCCACTTGGCTGAGGGGTACCTGTTCTCTCCTGGGACACTGTTGCCAGTTCTTGACTGGACAAAGACATGAGCAGCCCACTCACACTGATTCTTTCTTAGATTGGGGTCTGGAGACCTCCAGAGGTAACCACCAGCCAGCTCTGGGAGTTTGGGATCACTAACTTTACCACTCACTTCAGAGGTGAGTGGCCAGAGGCCCCAGGTGTGTCACAGCCCCTGGCCCCTTTGGGTGGGCCCAGCTGGTCAGACACATGAAGGACCCCACTTTATTATTCCTCCAACCAACCCTGTGGCCCCTGAAGAGCTGCTCTTTTACAGCCCAGTCAGAGGCAGGGTGGCAAGGACATCCTGGAGGGGACAGTCCAGAGTGGGAAGGGTAAGTGTGGAGGCTCACCTGATGCCAGAGTCCAGGCAGATCTCTCCAAGCGTTTTTCCTCTCTCTGGTTTGTCCTGGTAGAGCTCAGAAATGGCCAGAGAGCCTGGGAGCTACGTGGAGCAGGTGGCACCAGGAGGATCTCCTGGTCACACATTCTTCCTGCTCCTCATACAATGGGAAAGCAGGTTCCAAAGCACAGAGGGTCAGAGCTGACAGTGCCTGGCTGTGAAGTGGGAATTTCAACCTCTCTGCAGGCCAGCAAGGACCCAGGGTTGTGATCCCACCTGCAGAAGGTGGGGAGGAGCTGTAAACTCTCTTTTTTAAGGGCAAGGGAATAAATACTGCTACACGGAGGAGGGTGGTTAAGTCTTGATGAAGGTACAGCCTCATCCTTAGCTTGCCCTGCAGCTCCCCACCAGAGCAGGTGTCTGGCTCTGCTTCCAGCTGACAGCCCCAGACAGGAGCCAGGTAACATCAGCTGGAGCACCCAGCAGGACTTGGCAGCTGTGGGCAGTGTGGGAGCCGGGATCTCCGAGCCAGCAGCAGGTGGAAAAGGAGTTGGACATGTGGGCAGCTCCTCTGTAGGAGCTTCAGCTGCTCCTGGGGCTGCAGACCCAAGGAGCCGAGCAATGGCACACGGGGAGAGCCGGGCAGGGGGGCGCTGAGCCACGGCTGCTGAGCTGCCCACGGGCTCGGGTTGAGCAGGTCAGATTTCGGTTCCTGAGGGCTGGGGTTTGTTGTGCCTTTGTTGTCACCATGACAGCCCTGTTGGGATGGAGCGTGGTCCTTGGCCGGCTCCCGCTGTTCCTCACGCAGCCCGGAAAAGGAAGCCCGGGAGGAGGCTGTGACTTGGTCCGCAGCCCGCGGGACGGGCAGGAATTGAAAGGGAGCTTGCACAGCTCCTGTGATGTGATGGAGGAGCATGCACAGGGCTCAGGGCTCAGCTCGCCGGGGGCCTTTCCCTTCTAATCAAGGTCAGGATGTTCCCAGGCTGTCTCCTGCCCCAGGGACACAATGAGCCGAATACTCCAGCGCTCACCCCGGACACACCGGGTGAAGCTCACACACAGCTGCATCCCCGAGGTGCGCGTTCAGCTGCTTCCTGCTGAGGCTGTGTCCTTCCCACCTCACACAGAGCTCGGAGTGCTGTGACTGCTCAGGGTGCAGCTCAGAGCTTGCACGAGGGCACAAGCGCAACCTCCGAGCACCCTCTGTGCTCACCCCCATCCTCTTTGCCCCTCGCTTCCCCCGAGGCTGGGCACCGCAGCCTCCCGGGACTCATCCCGTTCCAGGAATGATTCTCTGGCTCGGCCGTGTCTGGGGTGGGATGAGGTTATGCGGGAGCGCCGCTTCTCTAGCGCGAGTTGCTACAAAACAGAGGGAAGTGTTTCGGAGGTTGTGCAATATGTACACGGTCACCCCAGCAACGGCGTGTCCACAAGGCATTAGCGGGGCTTAGCTGCGGCTGCTGAGCGCGATGGGGACCGGGCTGTGCCGAGTCCGTGCCGGGTGTGCCACCGAGCACCAGCTGCGGGCGTGCCCTGCACAGCTCCGGGCACAGGAGAGGGGGAAAGCTCCATCCTCCTTCCTTTTGCCCACCCTGCAGCTCAAGGCAGCTCATTGAGATGCTCTCAGCATGTGTCAAAAGCAGTGCGGGAACAGAGTCCTATAAAATCATTTCCCAAAGGAAGGTCCCCTTGACTTCAAAGAAGAAACAAAGAAACTTGAGCCAGGCTCAGAGATGAAAGGAACCACGATGTGCATCCCATGCCAAGGCAGAGGCTTGGAGCAGGCACCGTGAGGCCTGGCACAGCTGCCAGACAGTGGCCAGGGACCATGACATGATTTCAGAGGATTGTGGAACGCTGTCATCCTGCAAATCATTGTTTCTTCCTAATAAAAAGCCACAGTGTCTTGTGGTGGAAACAGCTGGTCCAGGGCATTGCCTTCAGCTGGTGGGAGAGTTCACACACTGGCAAAAACATTTTATTTATTTATGCTGGAGAAAGTGCTTGAGGATGTCAGACCTCAATGTGTCTGCAGTGATGGGGAGCTGAAGCATCAGGACTTCTGCTGTTAGGACCTTAACCCAGCTTTCTCATGGCTTTGGGCTGCAGCTTGTGGTCATTGCAACTCTCTGGTGCTGAGCCCAGGACTGCTCTGCCCATGCTGGACTCTGCAGCAGCACCCCAATGTGACTTGTTCCTTCTGCTTACTGCCACAGGTCTGCTATGGACATTCCGCATGCAGAGCAGCAGAAATGCCATTGGCACTTGAACCTGCAGGGTATCAACATTAAAGGCCCAAGAGGATAAAAGCAAGGTTGAGAAGGAGAGTCCAGGAGCTAAAACCATCTCAGCCTCACCATTTTCACTCTTGGGTGCTCACTGTGCATTTTCAACAATGCTCTTTGGATGTGGTTGTGGCAAAAACATAAACCCCAGCTGATTTCAGTAACCATATGGCACACACAATTCTCCTGCTGCCCTTGAGGTTTAGGAGATCAGAGTCCAACCCTGGCAGTGCTGGGAGCCCATCCTGCTGGAGGCTGGCTCTTGGCTCAGCACCCAGCTGCTCCAAGGCACGGACACAGCTTTGCATGTTTGGCAGTCTTGAGTTATTCAGCAGAGTGGAGCAAATGTTCCAGCTAAAGGCAGCAGAAGGATGTGCCTGGACATCTG